TCTGGGCAACCAGCCTGATCTGGAACAGGTTCTGAACCCATGAGAAATTCTGGTCCAGAGAGTCCAGATCTCCCCCCCGGGCCAGAAGTTCTGATGGAAGAAGGTTCCGGTACTCACCGATGCTCCTGAAACTCTCTGATAAAGTTCTCCTCAACTTCCTCATCCGGCCCATCTCCTCCGGTACCAGCTCGCTCATTCCTGGGCTGACGAGAAGTTCAGTTAGGTTCGGAGCGGGAAGCAGCTGTTGGTGTGGGGACCTCAGCAGATCAGAACCTCCTCATGCTTCCCCAGGATTACATGTCCGAACAGAACCAGGCTGTTCGGCAGCGGTTCTGCTCTGCAGCTTCCAGTCCATCTGGGTCCAGCGGCTCCGAGCTTCGCAGACTGGATGGCTGATTGAAGGGATGGTACCGGTCCAGAACCCCGCCCAGCCGGTCCAGAACCCCGCCCAGGACGCGCTGATTGGAGGAGTCCCAGAGAGGTTCTGGTTCCGGTACGTGGCGGCCGGCCGGCACCGCCCAGCAATGTGGGCCGATCCACCGGTTCGGTCCGGTCTGCAACCAAGCGATGCTAGAGGCTCCGGTACCGGGTCCAGCTGGTTCTGACTCACCGAACCGAACTCGGTCTGTTTCAGCTTCAAGGTATGGAAAGCTGTAAAGGATTTAATCAGCTCCACCTGAGGACGGCTCCAGAACCGGCCCACATCATCAGTCCTCCACCACCGTGCCTGACCAGTAGAACCAGTCTGAGCCCAGTTCGGGTTCTGATCACATAGAGTTGAAGAGCAGGTTCTGATGGAGGGTTCTACCCGGTCCAGTTCCCAGCTGATGTCCAGTCAGAGACTGGCTGTGGTTCCGTCAGGCTAATGGGTCAGAACCATCCCCAGCCTTTAACCCACCAGGTCCAACAGAACCGCCCCACCGTGTTCTGATCGGCCCACTCCAGAACCAGCTGGGTTTAATAGAACTGTTCTGGTTGATGGAGGCCTGGGAGACAGAAGGTGACCCAGCAGAACCTAATGGACCGCTGATGGTTCTGATCCTGGTTCCATGACGGCCCAGCAGAACCGGACCTGCAGCTCAAACTAAAATCATTGAGAGGAACCAGAGATGTAGATCTATTCTACCTAGAGCTGCCGCTCTGAGGCAATGGAGGCTCTCTGTGATTGGCTGGTTTAGGGTCACAGTAGTGCTTTAATGGAGGCTCTCTGTGATTGGCTGGTTTAGGGTCACAGTAGGCTTTAATGGAGGCTCTCTGTGATTGGCTGGTTTAGGGTCAAAGTAGGCTTTAATGGAGGCTCTCTGTGATTGGCTGG